GTCTGTAGTCTTTGATCGTCTACGACATTTGTTTCAAGTCCTCCTCATGTTGAGCAAGCAAGGTGCTGTGTTCTGCATACCACAGATTATTGATGAGTCTTCCTCTGATCTTGATGCCACATTTTTCTTTATAGAGTCCATCTTCTTGAAAAATTTCCCCAGCATACAAATTTAATAGATATGGAAGGAACAACCCTGATACACTCTTTTCTTAATTTTAAACCACGTGGTGTTCCCTTGAGGTCAGCAGTATGGGGCTGGAATCCAGTTTGAGAGTCATCTGTAGGAACCAGGTTCTACAGAAGCCTGATGGCTGGGATTGGTGAGGATTAGGGTGGAATGTTGATTCGCTAAGGGAAATGAGATGATGTGATAAGGCCTCCTATTTAAAAACCCTGGTTCGAATTGTTTTTTGTCAAACATTCTACTAAGTGGTTTAGCACTGGTCTGGCATTGCTGTATTGAGGTAACTCATGGTTGCTGTGATGATAAACACTGTGACACTGATGTGCCAAACGTGATAATGGTTACCCACGGTGGACAGTGTTTGCTGGAGCTTCTCAATTAAAACAAGCTTGGAAGCAGGAGAGGCATCCACGTCTGAAATGGCTTGCCTCCAGAAACTCTATGAACATGGAGAAACAACCAAAATTATACAAGTGTTCAGGTCTTTTGTTCACAGGGTTGCTATGAGTCGTCTACGACTTGACGACACTAAACAACAACAAAATAGTGTTCCCTTGCTCTATTTGCACAACAGCTTCTTGGCCTCGGAAGTTTCAGATGATCCCTATTAAGTGTTTTGGGACTCCCATTCTTCTCAATTTTTATGATTCACACAGTCAAATGCCTTTGCAATAGTCAATAAAGCCTAAAAAGACATACTTCTGATATTCTTTACTGTCAACCAGGATCTGACATCAGCAAAGATATACCTTTAGCAAAATTGTACCTGCATGTGATCAGATATATGCACCAACAACCAGAGCCAAAGAAGAAGAAATAGATGATTTCTACCAACTTTTACAGTCGGAG